TTTTGATGGATGTCAAATATCAGTTATCTTCTGCTAATTTTTATCTGAAAATTCTCCACCAGAATTGAAATGAATTCATTAAAATTGGGTCTGTCATTGGATCTAACCAACGTAATTTTATCCAAGCGTGCCAATGTGTCCTTGGACATCTGCTATTATAATAAAGTCATTGGAATTTGACTATTATAAACCTACTGTTTTCAAAATATTTTTACCAAAATATATTGCAATTTTTTTTTTTTTTTTTTTTCATTTAATTTGGTTATCTTTTTCAGAGTTCATATTGCAACTTTGTTATCATTAATATATCTCTCTAATATTGTGTATATATATATAATGTCATTCGCATTTTGGCCTGTTTCCTGTGTCATAAATCATCATTGGGTTATTATAAAACAATACATTGACATCAGTCAGTGTTTGTTATCCGCATGCCATCGGCACTTTGGTTACCCTATAGTGTAAGAAATGTCAGTGCTCAATGTTAAATATTCAAGAGTGCAAATGGCATGAAACTGCAAGCTGTGCAATCAACATAGGGTATCTCTATCTATAAAAGGCAGGATGTGTGTGTGTGTGTGTGTGTGTGTGTGTGTGTGTGTGTGTGTGTGTGTGTAACGAATCCACGGCCGCAATTTTCGACAGTTTGCACCAAAATTTACATGCACATGCTCCAAGTTAGTGGGAAGCCAAGAACGACTTTTTTACATTTCCCAATTCCCATCGATAGTGGAAATAATCGATTTTTCATGCTTCTACGGCAGTTTTCATGTAGTTTGCGGCCATTTCTACTGGCCAGGTGAGTTCTCATAGCTGGCTGCCACGAATAGGCAGAAAGATTCTATTGGCCAGCGTGAGAGCAACAGCTGACTGACACGAATGTTAAGCATGCATGCAAAAAAATCGATAGCTGCATTCGTCACAAGTGGGAAAAATTTAAATCTGCATGGCACTTTACTCAATTGGCTCATTCGCTTGTTTAAACTCAACGTTGATTCTGATTCCGCAGAACTGGGTTGGGTGAGAAAAAAGTATTGTTGTTAACATTCTTTTTTCATTCAGTTTTTCCAGTTACGAGTCCTTTTTTAAGCTGATCGTTTTGTTTTCATTTTGTTTAGTTCTTTTTTCGTAACAGATTTAATGTTTAGTATAGAGCTTAGAAAAAATTTTGCATGTGAGATAGGCAAAATATAAGGCATGTAGCAACATAAGCACGGCAAAGGGCACTCCTTTAAAGGCAAGGAAAGACAAAAATATTTTAAATCAAGTGATAGCGATTGCTGTATGAGTCATACGATTTTTGAATCAAGCACGGGCAACGCCGGACCATGCTGCTGGTCATGTAAATTTTATTTATATTTTTAATACATATATATATTGATATGTTTTATGTTTAACGTTCTTTTTTATAGATACAAGTATTTAAGCAAATGCTCTGTTTATAATAAACAGTATTAAACAACATTTATCGGCCTGAATGTCTGAGAAATTTTCATAGAAAATATGCGTCCTCCGCCAGGAATCGAACCTGTATCCTATACGGAACCGTCATATAGCCTGACGTGCCTTTACCGATTGGCCCACAGAGTAGCGTTCGGTTAGCAAGATCGATTTTACTGTATTTAAACACAATTCTCCATGATTTTCTCTCATACATTCATATCTGCTCAAAGCGTATCCAAATGTCAACAAATGACGTCACACATTATGAAATGAACAAAGTCCGACAATTATTTTCTAAGACGTTTTTTTTATGTTTATACGTTCTTTTTATAGATACAAATATTTAAGCTCTACAAACATATGCTCTGTTTTATAATAAACAGTATTAACGACATTTACCGGCCTGAATGTCTGTGGGACGTTCGTCCGGCTTCTTGCTTTCCAGCAAACATTGTTCGTCAATGGTTTAAATGCAACGCCAATCGTTATCGACTGTCTTCTTGATTCCTCTTCTTTTATTGTTCTCACTCGTTAACATTTTTTTTTACTCTTTCACACTCTGTAAACCCTTTGGGCCTTAGTGGCTTTATTGCCTTGCTTGGGGTGAAATAATTAAAAAAAAACCCTCTGAAATGTGCTTGTAATCGTAGGAAATATTCTGAGTATGAAGAGGTTTAAATTTTGATATATTTTTAAACAAATGTGCAACATTGTTCTGTTTCACGATTGAATTAATGCTATTTCTTTTATTTTTCAGGTAAGTGAAAATGCTTCTTTTGTGTTTCAAATTACAAAGACAATCGACGTGAGAAATGCCTCTGATATAGTTGACTGGATAATGTTACAAAAAAAGGAAGTAAAAAGGTATGTTGTTTTCGTCACCAACAAATTAAATCTTTTTACCCACCAAAACAATTACACACATATATATATATATATATATATATATATATATATATATATATATATATATATATATATATATATATATATATATATATATATGTTACAGCAACATTGCCCAAATCGTGTAACAAAAAAAATTATCCTTCCTACA